TAGGATTTGGATCTCTAACTTACAAAGCCTAACAGTTTTTAATATAATAAACTGATAGGCTGGTTCAGTAAAAATGTGGGTTGTGAAAACATAATTAACTCTGAACTTCATTGTATTTGATGACACAGTCATAAAGCCGTCCTCCGAGAAACTGTGCTACTTCTGGATGCTTCACCTGCATAACAAATCGAATAGACCAGAGAAAATGAGGAGGAATTATGAAAACTAGAAGTATTCTTTGCTTAAACAGGAGAAGAAAAGATACTTAATGTAACACCGTCGAACTACTAAGTTTATTACCATTCCAATCTTGAGGGAATCACACTTGAACTGAGCATAAAGGTTTGTCTCTATTCCTCGTCCCTGGCCAGAACAATCTACGAGTCAGTTTACTGAAAGTTGAAACCTAAGACTAGACTGCATCGGTTTCACTGTGAAGGGATTTACAGGTCTTACCATTCCTTCTAAGATGACCAAGTCTGCATCGGTTGAAAGGTAGGCAACTTCCTGTGATACTCTTGCAAGATCAATAACCTGCAACAAGTATACAATTGGTTTTTAATAGTGGCCAATCAATGAACGAATTAGGCGATGCTGGAGGTCCATTTTTATTATGAGAGGTTTGGAATACCATACCGGTAAGTCATTCMCTGAATTTGCAATCAGAAGATTTGAGGTATCAACACCCATCAATTGTCCATTTTCATCCTTCACCTGGTAAATCAAGACTCAGTCAGGGTCGAGTTTCTTTAATCTCTAATGAAAGAGAATAGCAGAAATTTTCCTAATCATCACCTTTGACAAAATCTCTGCAAGCTCGGTATAAGTTACATCGTTGATAGATGGAAGCTCATTAGCAGCCAGCACCACCTTCAAAGGAGAAAGAATTTAGCAAAGAATAATGTCAACAACTATGCAAGAAGATCCCAGTTATAAGCACCTGCATTCCTCGACGTAACATTTCTCTTGCAAACGGTAAGATACCCAAAATTATGTCAGCACCAGAGTTATCGACAAAAATCACAGCCTGTCATGAAAACAAAAGAGAGAATGAAACAAACTCTTTAAGTTAGGATAAAGCATAAGGTTAAGCAGACAAAACAGAGTGAATTTAAATGACTGACCTTCTTCCAAGGCTTCTTGATCCATCTAGCTTGAAAGTGGTCCAAGTCATCAATGACCCATGGTCGTGGAACCAAGTTTTGACAGCTAGCCAAGAATGACATTCCATCCTTCGAGAATACCTCGGCAAGCTTCAGTGTGTGGAAAAAATCAAGATACATTGATTAAGATACTTTCTATTCAGAGTAAACAACAAAAGAGATGTTATGGAAGCAACTGTTTATGACAAGAGATCAAATACCTGTGCAGAACCCAAATCGAAGATGTTTCCAGCGAAAATCCCTCTTATTAGATTCTCAATGCGTTTTCCTTCATCTTCAATATCATCACTTAGACGGACAACTTCAGGAAATAGTGTTATAGCCTTAGCATTCTCCTCATCCTAAAAAGTTCACAATGAACTCGTCGGATCAGAAAAGAGTACAAGAGAAATTAGGCTTTCGGAAAAATCCAATGTCAAGAAAGCCACACCTTAACTTTCTTGAATATGTCCCTAAATCCCAATTCTCTTAGTATTAGCTCACGGATTCTGCAAAGAAGCTGCAAAGATAAAAACACCAAAACTAATTCATGAACAACAAAGCTCGCTACAAGCAATTTAGCGTACCAAGTAAAGCGTTTCAACTTACAATGCAATCCGGTGGTCCACCATGGCTCTCCGGATCTTTCTTCAAGTCCTCAAGAATTTCCGCATACCTTACGAGTTCCAATCGAGAAATTAAACGCATAATTGATGCTTTTCAACTAAAACAGTACCTCTCTTTGTAGTAGAAAAATCAAAGAACCTTCTTGACACTATGAAATCACATACGAGGCAAGCCATTGTACACACAAAATGTACCTTTGGGCAAATTTTTCAGCTCGAGCAGGAGCATCTGGAACACTTGTATCACTCTCTGCACGATCCCT